CACACACACACACACACACACACGTTGTTCAGTGTAATTCTGTATCTCTGTAATCCAGATCAGATGGCCATCATTCTAAAGCTGATCTCTACAATCCCGTGCACATTAGTTTAAGTGCAGGGCAGCAGGTTCAAAAGGTCACAGGATATAAATGCTGAAGAGCATATGGAAATCAGCATTAAGCATTAATGCAAAGCGAGCGACCACAGATTGCTATGTGCTGTTTTTTATGAAACAGTGATAGCAAAATTATAAACGCATGGGGAAAAAAATAGGTGTAGCAGTCATCAAGGTTATGTTAAAAACAGGAGGCTATGGTTATGTACTGTGTATGGGAAGTCTTAATCCATTGGTAAAATTGTCTTGTATGATGCATGAATAGAGTCTGTATGTATTTTTAATTATTTGTATTCATTTTTATTTTTTAGATGAATCGGCCCATTCAAGTGAAGCCTGCAAACAGTGAGGGGAGAGGAGGTAAATCATCTGTTATACATCTTTATTTGGCTTATTATAAAGATTTCTAATGACTTGGTGAGATCTTCTGCTCATCAAGGCTGCATTCAGTTGGTCATAAATATAGTTATATTTATAGAGTAATATTGTGAAATGTTAAAATTTAAAGTAACCATTTTCTATGTGAATATCTGTTAAAATGTAATTTATTTCTGTGATCAAAGCTGTATTTTCAGCATCATTACTCCAGTCTTCAGTGTCACATGATCTTCAGAAATCATTCTAATCAAGTCTAATAATGAGAAATGTTGCTTGAGCAGCAAATCATCATTGATGCTGAAAACAGTTTGTGCAAATGTGTGTAAATTCAAAACAACACCATTTGTTCAAGATAAAATGTATTTTATTGACTGGCACCTGTACATTTGATTAATCTGAATACTTCCATTGGTTTGCTGATACAACCTTATTGTTCAGTCAGCATTAGAAACCACTATACTAACACTACTGCAAAACGTTTTAATGAGACATTTCAACTGCTACAAGTAACACTCTCGACAAATATAAAGCTGTGCACATTAACTAGAAAATAAAAATGAGAAATGCATATCGTAAAAAGAACAGAAAATATATGAAATAGCAAAGGCCACAGTAAAGTGTTCAGAAAAGTGCTAAACAGGAGCTGTATATGAAGTCTCTTCATGCATGAGGTTTTGATGAGACAGTCTTCCTACAAAACATTCAATAAATTAACATTAAAAAGGCTAATGCTGAGAATATATACTGTATATATATAAAGTCTCTCTTTTTTCTCACCAAAGATTCAGTTTCTTTTTCTATAAAATGGACTAGATTACCAAAATGCCAAAAAAGTTGTAAGCAGCAACTATGTACCATAATCTTTTCGTTGCCCATATTAGGGTATATGAAAATAAAAACCTATTTTATCACAGGGTTGTTAAATGCTTGATTCTAATTGGTTGACGAACACTGTAAGGTGTGCGATTATTATTTTCCAGTAAACGCCCAGCTATGAAGTAGTTCCAGGGCTCTCATTACAGCTTCATGTCATATTATTTAAGTTATTTATTAAGTTAAGTCCCTGCAACAGCAAATTAATCAAAGCCTACAACAACACTGACTGCAAAGACATATAACAAACAATTTTGCTGCTAAAAAACATGTACACATTCTTTCTTCCACGCACACACACAAACACACTGAAACCATCGTCAGTTATTCCATACTTAATTAAAACAGTCTTTCAAGAAACATTTAATGCTGGAGTGAGTAATGTTTAAACTTGATCGTTTACATTCATTACAGTTTGCATGTAAATGTGGTCCTGCTTCTCAAGTAAATTCAATTCTACAACGATCAAAGTTGGCCCCACTAAATCAATATTTGATTGCAGTTGGTTATGCAGCAGAAATGCTGTAAAGCTCTGTTGCTTGCGGTGTGAAACAGGCCTAGCTGACTGTATCTTCACAGGCCTCGTTTCACCAGATTACAAAATAGGCCTGGTGTTGGAAGGCTTATTTCCCGTGGAGTCGCTCTCCTGAACAGGATGAGTGACCACCGACTGACTTTCATTGACGGGTGAAGTTGTGCTAATAGCAGACATCAGCATACGCTGGGTTTCAGTGGTGTCACCCTCACTACTCTGAGTCGCTGTAGTGGACTTGGATTGACGATTGCGTAGTTCTATGGTGATCAGATATGTCACACTGATCACTGAGATGAGCCCAAAAACTACAGTGAGCACGATCAGAATTGCTTCGTTGCAGCTGGAGTGTGTCTGGTCTCCTGGACCGGAGTTTTTCTCTGTGTGAATTAAACAACAGAATCAGGCTTATAGACTCTGACTGCATTTTTCAGGGTGAAATGCACCGGATTGTTGTTATGCCAACGTTGACTGGTAAAATGAAATGTAATACAATGCAATCGAGTTTCCCATGTCTTACCGTTCACATGCAGCACATAGGCGTGTGGGTTTCCTTTAACCGTTTCATCATCCACAAAGCAACGGTATATTCCAGCATCTGCCTTGCGGACACGAGTGATGGTCAAAGAGAGATCGCCGGTTTTGAAGCAATTCTTCTCCAGCAAAAAAACTCTTCCCTCGTAGCCTTTGCCAGGATTCTCGGATCCGTTTATCTTGTAGTGCAAAACACTTTCGTTGTTATGCAGCCACTTCACATCTTTGGCATTGTGCGCATAACAGTTCAGGGTGATGTTGTCCGTTTCTTCTGCGCTCTCATTTTGAGCATCTACAGTATATAGGGAACATGATTTAAATCATGATCATGTGCTGATGATCTACTGAAGTAGCTCTCTTATACACGACCAGTCAAAAGGTTATTAAGATTTTTTTATTTTTTTTAAAAGTGTCATTTATTTAATGAAAAATACAGTAAAAACAGTAATACTGCAAAATATTATTGCAATTTAAAACAGCTGTTTTCTATGTAAATATCTGATAAACTGTAATTATCAAAGCTGAATTTTCAGCATCATCAGTGTCTTTAGTGTCACATGATCTTCAGAAATCATTCTAATATGCTGATTTGCTGCTCGAGAAACATTTCTGATTATTATCAGTGTTGAAAACAGTTGTGCTGCACAATATTTTTATGGAAACCGTATTATAAAAGTATTTCAAGGATGCATTAAATTGATCAAAGCTTCGGTAAAGACATTTATAAATTATTTCTATTCCAAATAAATGTTGTTTTTAAACTTTCTATTCATTAAAGAATCCTGAAAAAAAAAATGCATGGCTTCCACAAACAAAAACATTCAAAAAAAACATCTTAATTACTCCAAACTTTTGACTGGTAGTGTATGAATCAGATATAGTAAAGACTTACATAAAACATCCAGATGAATGAAAGTTTGAACCCCGTTACAGATGAACTCATAGGGCCCCTGATCGGTGTATTTTGATGATTTGAGAAGCAGGTGGTTGTCTTTACATGTGAATTCTTCCTCAAAAGTTCTGTCAGTCGTGAACGCATGGTTTTTGTATGTGGCGATAGTGGTGTCTATGGGGGGTCTCTTTCTCCATTCAGCGTGATGACAGCCGCTGGCGTTACCGGGGAATGTGTACGGTTGGTTTAGTAACACAAAATCAGTCCGAATACTGTGGCAGAACGCTCCTGAAACAGAATCACAGAAGAGATAGACACTCTAATGAAGGGAATTTTGGTTACACTTTTTTAAAGGTGTCATTGTTACAGTGCAATTACACAAACAAGCACTGAGTAATATTAACCATACACTCTTAAAAATAAAGGGTCCTTATTGGCATCTGTGGAAGCTTTAACATCCGTGGAACCTTTCCATCGCACAAAAGGTTCTTTAGATGATTAAAATGTTCTTCACACTAAGAATAAACTGGTTCTTTTAAGAACTGATCACTGAAATGTTCTTTGAGGAACCAAAAATGGCTCTTCTGTAGCATTGCTGCGATAAACATCCCTTTGGATCCTTTATTTGTAAGAGTGTATTAACCATAGATTTAAGGTTTGATTTAGGGTTAGTTGTTTGTAATTTTGCTGTTATTACTATAGTAAGTACATGTATAACAAGGACACTCTAAAGTGTTACTGGGAATTTATTTGCAAACATACTGTGTAGTGAACAGATATGCTGCTATACATATGCATGCAGTTGAATTGCAAGAAAATTATTACTCAACCAAATGCATGTGAAATATACAGTATAGTGCCTTAGTACTGAACATCAGTATGGCTGTGATTCTGGGTAATTATACTGTATAAAAACACAACAATCAACCTAAATAAAAAAGGGAAAGACAAAAAAAGAGGTTTCCTACCTTCATAAAGTACAACCATAAATGTTGAAGCCAAAATCAAATTCCGAATGGCCTTCATTATGATGCACTGAAACACACATCAGCAAATACTATTACGTCACGTCAGTCATTGTGCTGAGCTTCAAATACACTCAATACAATGATTCATATCACACTTGTGGGCTGGTCGCTAAGATTAACTGCAGATTTATTACAGTCTTCTGACTGTAATGAAAAATTCTGCTCTGACGCACTGACAGGTGAAAACAAGCCTGACTCTCTCTAATACGAGACCAAATATTTAGTTCAACTCACTGCAAAAGCATTCAGCAGCAACAATTGAAAGTTCCAAGTGCTGAATAGAGTCATTTTTTCCCCTCAAAATGACCATAAAAAAAGTTAAAACTCTATTGTGATGCCATTTCGGCAGATAACAACAAGCTGTCTTTACTTCCGCTTTTCTCTGTGTTCGACAGAGAGAGAGCTCCTCCCAGAGAGCTATGGCAAGACATTTGAACATTTAAATGAATACTAACGACTAAAAAAACAGTATAGTTCATTTTAAATGGTTAATTTTAGCATCTGTATGTTACTGGCACCTTTTTTTTTTTCAATAATACAATGTAATATAACAGTGACCATTGGGTTTTCGACAATAAACATGCATTTCTTTTACTAGAAAATATAAAGTGCTTTTAATTTTAAAAAGTTAACCCATTCCAAATTTAGTAGGCACTCATAATATTTCTAGTAGCTTTTCTCTATAGTATGCAATCAATGTTAAATAGTAATGCAGCAAAAGACAAGAGATGAGATTTCTGTTTCAGTGTTTTATACCAATACAGTTTAAGCAATAGATGTTAAAACGGCCTGCCGTACAGTGAGAGCAGTGTGGAAGAGTTGCATTAGTACTGTAGATAAATACCAGGAATAGAGATGTGATGACATCAGAGGCATGTTGCAACAGTGTTGTATTAGTGAGGACATTTGGGCCTTACAAGTACTGTATAATCAAACTAACACAAGCAGGCAGAGTTCATATTACAGCCAGTTTATAACTCCCTCTCCTGGACACTGATGGTACTACAACTTATACTGACACACTTCACAAAAAAGCTAGAATTGAAATAAAGTCATGATACTGAATAACAGATCATGACCATTTCTCCCATTTTCACTCTTTTTAGAGGATAGAAAGCTGTTTGTGGGGATGTTGGGAAAGCAGCAGTCTGATGAGGATGTGAGGAAGATGTTTGAGCCTTTTGGGAGCATTGATGAGTGTACGGTACTGAAAGGACTTGACGGCACCAGCAAAGGTCTGTTAAAGGAATAGTTCACCCAGAAATGAAAATGTCCTCACCCTCAGACCATCCAACATGTAGATGAGTTTTGGAGAAATGTAGCATTGCATCACTTTCTCAGCAGTGGATCCTCTGCAGTGAATGGGTGCCGTCAGAATGAGAGTCCAAACAGCTGATAAAAGCATCACAATAATCCACAAGTAATCCACAGCACTCCAGTCCACCAGTTAATGTCTTGAGAAGACAAAGACTGCGTGTTTGCAATGCTATATTTCTCCAAATCTGATGAAGAAACAAACTCATCTGCATCTTGGATGGACTGAAGGTGAGGACATTTTCATGCCAGGAGACTGTGTTAAACACAAACTTAATCTGCCACACACAATCTGATGTTTGTCTTGTTTTCACAGGTTGTGCGTTTGTGAAGTTCCAGAGTCACTCAGAGGCCCAGTCTGCCATTAACAGTCTGCATGGGAGCCGAATTCTTCCCGTGAGTGTGTCCTCCTCTCTCCTCTCGGTCTCTCCTCCTCTCTGCTCTCGGTCTCTCCTCTCTGCTCTCGGTCTTTCCTCTCTCCTCTCGGTCTCTCCTCGGTCTCTCCTCTCTCCTCAGTCTCTCCTCCTCTCTCTTCTCTCCTCGGTCTCTCCTCCTCTCTCCTCTCGGTCTCTCCTCCTCTCTCCTCTTGGTCTCTCCTCCTCTCTCCTCTCGGTCTCTCCTCCTCTCCCGTTGGCTGTAATCTCTGTCTGTGTGTGGTCAGGGCGCCTCCTCCAGTCTGGTAGTGAAGTTTGCAGACACAGAGAAGGAGCGCGGGATGCGGCGCATGCAGCAGGTGGCCTCGCAGCTCAACATCTTCAGTCCGGTGACGCTCAACTTTAATGCATATAATGCCTACACACAAGCAGTGAGTACAACACACACACACACACACACACACATATATGTTGGTATTGGTGGGTATTTTACGGGGACTCTCCATAGGCGTAATGGTTTTTATACTGTACAAACTGTATTTTCTATCGCCCTACACCAACCCTACACCTATGATACAATTGTTATCAGTGTAGAAAGAAAAGTAGTTTTAAATGGGGTTTTGCATTTATTCACAGTTATACTTTTATTCAATAAGAACTATTCAATGACAGTAAAGACATTTATAATGTTACAAAAGATTTCTGTTTCTAATAAATGCTGTTCTTCTAAACTTTCTATTCATCTGTGAATCATGAAAAGTAAAATATATTACGGTTTCCACAAAAATATTGTGCAGCACAACTGTTTTCAACATTGATAATAATCAGAAATGTTTCTTGAGCAGCAAATCAGCATATTAGAATGATTTCTGAAGATCATGTGGCACTGAAGACTGAAGTAATGATGCTGAAAATTCAGCTTTGACCACAGAAATAAATTACATTTCACAATACAATTACATAGAAAACAGCTATTTTAAAGTTATAATAATATTTCACAATATTACTGTTTTTACTATATATAAAAAAAAGCAGCCTTGGTAAGCAAAAGAGACTTCATAATGTAAATTATTTTCCCTAATAATAATAATAATAATAACAACACTGCATTGTTTTATAAATATATAATATATAAACAATATATTTTTCTGTTGTGTCATGTTATATGACACATATCATGAATCAGTTTCACACAATAAATATTTAAATAGTTTGTTTATTCCCATGTAAGTAAATAAAATAAAGAGAGTGAGTTTTAACAGACTGCAATAAAAATCAAGCCCTAGGCCATAAAAGTGCCTGCAGTTGAAGAAACACTCAGAGCCTACAGCTCTTTATCCAGTGTTTCACCTGTCTTTACTACAGACCCTGCTTTAATCCCTGCACTCACATATATTGCTGTTTCCAGTTATATTGTTGTTCTCTCCATTATTAATGACAGTCGTTGTGGATTTATCTTGTGCTGTAAGTGCAGGGATGAAGACTCAAGCATGTTGAAGTTGTGTAGCGTTAACTCTTTGCTCTCTGTCTGTCTCAGCTGCTTCAGCAGCAGGCGCTGGCTGCGCAGTCGTCATACCTGTCACCTGTATCTACTGTAGCGGCGCTGCAGATGCAGCAGATGGCAGCACTCAGTGCTAACGGCATCATAGCTGCACCCATCACACCCTCGTCAGGTGATCACCACCTTCACCACACAGCACAGCTACCTGTGCTTCAGGAACCAGGTCCGAATGACATCATAATATGGTTACGTTACAATATTCAGACCAGAGTGGATAAGAAAGTCTTCATGTGTGCTAAAGGTTTATTTTGTTAAACATAAAGGTAGACATTAACTAAAAACCAGAAAACTTAAAAAAAAGTGGGAAAAGGTGCACTTTCGCATACTTTTAAAAAGAGTACTTATTACAGAACAATGTATTTTAAAAGAATATACTTAAGTGCAAACTGAATGTAATGTTTTCTTAGACTTAAATGCATGTTATCTGCAATTAAATAAAGATGTATTATAGTTTAAATTTATATTAAATGCCGTTATCTGAACTTTAGAGTGTTTTGACCCACTTAAGTAGGACTTAAATACATCTTTATTTGTAATTGCATAATTATGGTTAAAGTGTTACTGCAGAATACTGACAAGCTTTTATGATAAACTAAAATATACTTTAATGACATTTCTATTGAAACTTGTATTTTAGTACTTTTAAAATGCATTAACTTTAATATGTAATATCAAATAACACACTACAGTTAAAATCATAATCAAGTTCTTGTGCTTAAGTATGTTAGTCAACACATCTTAAAACATGACAAAAGATTATTAAAACATATTGATTTAAAATGTCCTTTAAAGTGAAACTTCTAATTTGATATTATTACAAAGTGCACTTTTTAAAAGTGTACTTAAGTCATGGAATTGTCTCTCTTTAAGTGCACTTAAAAGACCTTTTATTTCATTAATATTATATTATACACTACAAGTGCACAATCAATACAAGAGCGTTCTTTTTCACAAGGTGATCTGTATGTGAAGAGCTCAGTGTTTACCGTTCTTTTACTCGTCAGTCTAAACTCCACGCTGCTCTGTGATTGGCTACAGGTACAAACACTCCGCCCACTATTGCAGCCACTCCCATCTCGGCTCTGCCTCTACCAATCGGAGTGAACGGCTATGGTCCCATAACGGTAAACACCAATGGACTGCCAGCTTCAGAAATCTACACCAACGGTGTTCATCCATATCATGGTGAGAATCCCTAATGCTTTGGGAGGCACTCAAACTGCCCAGAGCACACTAGAGATTACCTATAATCAGGGACGGCCTGGGAGTAAAAGACGGCCCTGGATTTTCCCCCAAATAGGCCCCGCCTACAACTACAAACAGCCGCTACTATCTCACATTTTACAGCAGTCAATGTATTGCATTTATGCCAAATAACATCACAAAACCCATGGTGATTGAAATAAATGTATTATTGTATGAAGTAAAATACTTGAAATCTACATAAAAAGAGCAGAACGCAAAAATGTATATTATGACATAACGATAAACATAAAATTAGAATGTAGAAACCAGAAACAACAGAACTATTCTACAATTTTGAGTATTCATATGTCTTTGTATATGTGTGTGTGTGTGTGTGTGTGTGTGCGCGCGCACGCGTAGGCTACTTCATTTACACTGTAAAAAACCCCACTGCCTTAAAATTTTAAGTTCAGTCAACTCAAATAAGTTTAATCAACTTGAACTAGTTGAGTTGTACTAAGTGACAACTTAGATATGACTCATTTAGAATAAATGATTTTAATTTAGAATACTGATCCAAATAATTAGTAATTCCTTCTGAAGAAATTGGTAATACTTGGGTCATTACTAGTGGGTTACCATGACCTTCACTTTAGAATTAATTATGCATTATGCAATATTCATAGTATTATGAACCTGTATACAGTAGGTCTTAGTAGTTCGGAGGTATGAAACAATAGTAGTTACTGATTAGCTAATAGTGAACTACCACATTCAGCTAAGCACTATTACTTACTAATTCATCAATAAGAGTTTCTTGTTAGATGCTAGTAGTTACTAGAGTGCTAATATTGTGCTACTTGTGCAGTTATTCATTAATGATGGAACAGTATTCTAAAGTGTTACCAAAAAAAAGATTGCATTGGCGCCCCCT